CACTAGCGTTCATACTAACCCTTCTTTTCTCACCAACATTCGTTCTCTTTGCAGCAATGTACGGTGGGCAGAAACCGTTCATGGGGAGCGCAGCCACGCAGCAGCCCCCGTGGGCGCAGCAGGTAGCGCTGCAACAGCAGCAGCAGGGAGTGCAGCAGCCGCAGCAGCAGGCAGGGCAGCAGCTTGGGATGCAGCAGCTGGGGCACGCAGGGCAGCAGAACGGCATTGCGGGCGGGCCTGCAAAGGCGGCAGCAGCGCAGCAGGGGGCAGACGGGGCAGCTGCTGTCGCAGCAGCAGGAGCAGCAGCAGGCGGAGGAGGATCAGCACCAGGTGGTTCTGCCACTGACGGTACTGCAGCTGCTGCGGGCGCAGCTGCAGATGGGGCTGCTGCAGCTGATGCGGGTGCGGGTGGGGACGACCCGGTGGCGGAGTGTGGATGGACAGAGCATGCAGCCCCGGACGGGCGGCCGTTCTACTACCACGCGGCCACCAACACGTCTGTGTGGGAGAAACCCCCAGAGCTCGCCCAGGCTGAGGCTAAGAAGGCTGATGCAGAGAAAGCAGCCGCTGCTGCCACCGCTGCTGGTGGCGCTGCTGGTGCTCCTGGTGCTGGTGGTTCTGCTGCGAATGGGAGTGTTGCGGGTGTTGCTGATGCTGCAGGGGAGAAGCAGCAGGATGTTGTGGACAAGCAGCAGCAGCAGCAGCAACAGCAGCAGGAAAGCAGTGGAGGTGAGTTGGGGCTGTGAAGCAGGGAGGTCTGCTGTGGCCGCCAGAGCAGCTGTGGGTGAGACACTCGCCCACTCGTCATTTTTTTGCCTGCTTCCTCCCCTCTCCTCTGTTCCCTGCTGCAAGTGCCAGCTGGTGGAGCTCTTGAGTCAACTCAAGTGTCACCCCTCCCCTGCGCACTTCCCTTGCCCCTATGTTGGAATATGCGCGTTTAGCGTATATGTGCGTTTCATTTATACGCTGGCGTGTATACGCCATACGCTTAAGGGTCAGATTGGGCATACGCTTTTTCGGGCAAGGGAAAAACTTTCCCGGGCAGGGTGAAAAAAAAGTTGTGCTCAACATCCGGGAAGGTAAGAACTCCCTACCCTATTCTCACCAATACTTAATTAGCATTTTACACGGTGGGTGGGGTGGGAGGTGGAGTAGATCGCTAGAAAGAGAAGTAGGTATCGGAAGGAACTCTGTTGGGCGGGAATGTAAACTAGAAATGACGAGTGGAGTTGGGCTGGCTGGCAGGTAAGTAGCGTGAGTGTGAGGTGGTTGGGGGAACATTTTTGACAGGTTGGAGTTTGTAGATAGGATGAGTTTCAATGCGGTGCAAATCGAAAGTTCAAATTGGACCTATCAGGAAACTTCAAAGGCACATTCCCGCTTCCCTGGACCGCCAGATTGCAATTCGACTTCGGCGAAATTCTCACCAGGAGAATCCGCATCTTTTCATATACTCAGGATTTTTTTCTTGGGCAGCCCCAAAAAAAATCTGAGTGTGTATAGCGTTTTGGGTATATACGCAAGCGTATAAATGCTATACGCTTTAGGGTCTGAGCGTATATTCCAACATAGATGGGGGAAACTGATGGGGGAAAGTGATGGGGGAATTTGATGTGGGAATCTGATGGGGGAAACTGATGGGGGAGTCTGATGGGGGAAACTGATGGGGGAAACTGATGGGGGAAACTGATGGGAGAAACTGATGGGGGGAACTGATGGGGGAAACTGATGGGGAAACTGAAACTGATGGGGGAGGGAAACTGATGGGGGAAATTGATGGGCGAAACTGAAACTGATGGGGGAAATTGATGGGGGAAACCGATAGGGGAAACTGATGGGGGGAATTGATGGGATGGGTGAAACTGAAACTGATGGGGGAAACTGATGGGGGAAACTGAGTGCGTATAGCGTATAGCGTTTTGGGTATATACGCAAGCGTATAAACGCTATACTCTTTATAGGGTCTGAGCTAATATTCCAACATAGCCTTGCCCGCCCCTTGCTCCCCCCCCTCCCCCCACCCCTCCCCAACCCCCGCCTGTGTTTGTGGCAGTGACGCCCCTGGCGGTGTATGGGCTACCGGAGGACTACAGCGAGCGCCAGCTGGTGGAGCTGTTCCGCACGTACGGCACCGTGGTGGCCGTGCAGGTGGCTCGCGAGGGCACCAGAGGGCTGGGCTACGGTGAGTCGTCTTAGGGCCTGGGGAGCGGGGGGGCCTGGGGCACGGCCAGCTGGTGGAGCTGTTCTGCACCTATGGCACCGTGGTGGCCGTGCAAGTGGCGCGCGAGGGCAACCGGGGTCTGGGCTATGGTGAGTGGCTTCTGAGTGGCAGTTGGTGGGGGGAGGAGAGTGGGGAGTGGAAAGTGGGGGATAGCATGGGAGCTGTTCCGCACGTACGGCACCGTGGTGGCCGTGCAGGTGGCGAGAGATGGCAACAGAGGGCTGGGCTACGGTGAGTGGTGCCTTATTTGGGCGACAAGGGGACAAGGGGCATGGCAGGCTGATGCAGGAGCTTTTTTGGAAAGACACCCATTTCCAGTTTATGGTGATTAGGCACGTGTGGATCGAAAGAATACAAGCTATCTTTTATGCTACCCCACCCTCGCTGTCTTCCAACCAGGCTATGTCCACCTGGACTCGCCCACATCAGCGGACATTGCCACGTCAGCGTTGAACGAGCATCAACTGGGCAACCGGCGGTTGAGAGTAGAGCGATACACCGCCCCTGCCTCCGCTGCACAGCCCAAACCAGTCCAAGCCAGCCCGGCTCCTCTCGCCACTGCTGCCGCTGGTGGTAGTGCTTCTGCTTCCCCTGCTCCTGCTGCTGCTGCTGCTGCTGCTGCTGCCGGCGCTGCTGCTGCTGCTGGTAATGCAGGTGTTGGTGCGGGTGCAGGGATGGGCGGTGTGCCGGGGCAGTATCCCGTTGCTGCCTACAACCTCAACCCGCAGTCTCAGATGCAGCCGCAACTGCAAGGACAGCCCCAGCCCCAGCAGTACCAGCCACAGTTCCTTCAACAGCAGCAGCAGCAGCAACCGCAGCAGCAACAGCAGCAGTACCCGCAGCAGCAGCAGCAGCAGCAGCAGCAGCAGCCTCAGTTCTACCCGCCCCAGCAGCAGTACTTGCAACAGCAGCAGCATCAGCCGCCGCCTCAGCAGCAGCAGTATCCTCAGCAGCAGCAGCAGCAGCAGCAGCAGCAGCAACAGCAGCAAGGAGGGTTCCCCCAGCAGCAGCGCATGCCGCCGCCCGGCCAGCCCCCTGTGGATGGTCGCTTCGACCCGCAGCGACCCATTATCCGCTTCCCGCCGCCCGTTAACCCTGGCTTGGCCGGGCCTGGGGGAATGGGCGGGCCTGGGAACATGGGTGGGCCTGGAGGGATGGGTGTTCCAGGGGGGATGCCTGGGCCGGGAGCAATGGGTGGGCCTGGGGGGATGAGTGGGCAAGGCAGTGGTCCTGGTGTGCTTGCTCCAAATCCTGGAGCTGCTGGTGCTGCTGCTGGTCCTGGCATGGGTGGTGGGGGTCCAGGTGGTGCTGGTGGAGGCGGGGTAGGGCCGGTGAGGCGAGACTTTGGGCCTGCAGGAGGGTATGTTGGCTATCGACCGTATTGAGTTTGTTCTGACTTGTAGGATGCATCTGTTGCGATGCTTGAGGAAGTACATGACAGCATTGTTGCCTCTATCTGGATGGTTGAACTAACAAGCTAAGCCAGCAATGCGTTTTCATAATTCCCGGTTAGGATAACAATTGGTACAGTCTACTGGTACTGTGTGCTTTATATAAAGGTGCAAGCGCAAGCAGTAGCTTGTCGTCAAGCGAACGCTCCGTCTAGTGTCTTCCACGTCAGCATATCTGGCCGTTCGGTACTGCTGGTCGCTATCATTGTGCGCCGACGATATCAATGAGGGACGCCTATCTTTCGCAACCATCGCATACATGTGAAGGATCCACAAGCGATTGCCTTTTTCCCGTTCGCTCATCTCGCGCGAGTCCCGACGTCGCACAGTGGAATCCAACCCAACATATTGACTGTGGAGAGAGCTGTTCCGCCCTGGGGATTATCCAGTTTGAGGCGGCTAGGGAAGGGAGGGAAGGCAGAACAAGAAACCTCAGTTCTGTTCCACCTCATTTCACTGACCCTCTCACATCGAATCTCTGTAGCTTGCAGGTGAACAGCGCTCACTGACAACGCAACACGCGCCTCTATGTCAGCCATGCTAAGGTTGTCAGGCATGACAGTTAGGCGCATGAACAGAACAGCCATGTCTCCCAACTCTTGTTCCGTAGCTCTATCATTGGCGAGGGTTTTCACATGTTGCATTCTTTCCAGTCGAGAACTCCACCAAAACCATTGTTGGTCGGAAGCGTTTACTAGTCATCTAGGCTCGCGAAACCTCCAGCTGTTCCGATGTATACCAGATCCAGCCACTCTGAAAGGGATCGATGAGTCGTGTTTGCCCATTGCGCGGCTTCGCTTAGGATTCATATCATCGCGAGCTACTGTTACCATTTCGCTTGAGCGTCTGTTTTCCGCAAATACAGTCGCTCATATCCGTTTCCATCGATGGCGGAAGCGGTAGTCATTGCGCGGATGCGGAAGAAAGAAGCGGAGGAGCAGACGTCGCTGACTCGCTCGCACAGCCTGCTGGAGGACAAGTTCGGCGCGTATGAGAGGGCGAACCGTCAGATGTGGGCTCGCTCCTCGTCCTTCGCTGATAGTTCCGGGTTAGTTCTATAGATAAGTATAATTTGGCATCACACAGGCTTGTCAAATATCCTCACATCGCGGTTCGACACTGGAGTTTTATGGACTTCTGTTTAAGAACCGTGAATGTTTCTGTTTCCGCCTGCATTGACATTGAAGTTGTCCGCTGAATGTCAATCAAGACCAAAGGTTCCGTCTGTTGACGTTTTTAGAAGTTCTCAAAAGTGTTTACCATTTTATTCGTAACCTTTATCGTTTCTACTTTCCCTCCTCATTTCCTGCCTTCACCCTTGTCGCCAGCGCTTCTCCAGACGCAAACGGCGCGAAAATATCGTCACGAAGTCCTCTCGGCCAATCGCCGCTTTATCCTCATGCTGTATCCAACTCGTCGCACGATCACGGTGGGGAGGAAACGGATGCGGAAGAAGATTCAAAACGTGGGTTTGGGAGCTACACGGAAAACCACCTGGCGGAGCAGAGGCAAGCATACCCTTCGAGACAAACAGGAGGTCTTCAGGGGGAAGGCGACGGCAATAAACAGATCGAGATTAGCAGCGGGGGAGAGGGACGTGTGGGGAATGGTGGCAGAATCGGCGAGGAGGCAGGCCGAGATAATAGGAACGGCAAGACACAGGAGTGCTATGGGGGAGCATTTTGGCGACAAAAAAGCGGTAACGCCTGGAATGGCCTCGACTCCACCTTCCAGTACTTGGGAAAAGGTTGGCTCTGGGGCGAGTCGAGAGAAACCAGTAGGAATGAAGGAGATGGGGGCGACGGCGGTGAGGACAGCGATGGTAAGGAGAGGGGATGCGAGGATGCGGCGTGCGGCGCCGGGAGAGGCGGTGGGGAGGTCGAGCCTGCGACGCGCTCGCTGCCGCACATGGATTTGATACGAGAGGACGGCGACGACGAGGATTTGATACTAGCGAACGAGCTGGAGGAGATCGATAAGGAGGTCGTGCAAGGTGGGTGCTGCTGGTTGCACCTCCTGATCCCTGCGAGTTTGACGTGTATTCGGCTCGTGTGTTAACAGTGCGTGCTCGAGCGCTTTACGAGGTGCCTAGTGCCCGTTATTCAACAACATCCTCCTTCTTCCTCCTCCCTCTGGTGGTTTTGTTGGCCATGTCTGTTGCTTCTGGGGGGCGTGCAGAGGTGTTCAATCGGGTCAGCCTGCTGCGCTCACAGGTGCAGCACTACCGCGCTTTGGGCGGGTTCGTGCTGCTGATGGCGCTGTTCGTGGCAATGGTGTATCTGCAGGCCGACTCCTCCCGCACCTACCAAGTCACCGCAGCCCACTCCGTCCTCATCCCCTCCGTGAGCCCCCTCGCTCTCCCACCACATCTGTTACTTGCCCTCTCGTTCCCGTGGCACCTTAGAATGACCCTTCTCGTTTCCACCGCTCCGATCGCCTCTTGTTTCCCACATACACCACTGTGATGACCCAAGGGTCCACACTCACGACACCATACACCCACCCCACTTTCCCGCCTTCCATCCAGAACTTTGCACCGGATTCGTCCAATCGGTTTGCAGGAGCCGCGAGCTTCTACGCGTGGCTGAACGGCAGCATCATCGAGCACTTCTGGCAGGACCCGCCCTGCGGGGATGGCCTCTGCGACCAGCCACTAGAGTTCCCCGCATTCGGCCGCTTCGGCTGTGAGGCGGACTGCGGCACGTTCCCCAACCTCACCTCCGTCTCAATCCATTTCACGACGTCATTTTCATCAAATGAGGCCCTGGCGTTGTCCGCATGGAACCTGTGCATGCAGAGCCCCATCTCGCTCTGCTGGCACGCCCTCCCCCAGCCCTTCCCCGCGCTGCACGCCCAGTTCTCCCTCGCCCTCGACATCCCCGACGGCCAATGGGCGCTGCTCATCACCGCGCCCATGGGGGGCGTGCAAGGCGTGCTGCAGGCGCAGAAGCCGGGGATGGGGCATCTGAGTGGGGACGTGACGATGGGGTCGAGTAACAGCGTTACGCTGGCTAGCTGGGGCGGGTGCTTGGGAGGGGAGGGATTGTCCGCGAGAGATTTGAATGCCACGCTGCTTCAAGACGGAGGCGATGTGTGCCGGCAGGTATGTGGCCGTGGCTGTGTGCTGTGCTGAAGGTTCGTGTGTGTGTGTGTGTGTGCGTGCGCATGCATGCACCCGTGCAACTGCTCCCATGTACGCTTGTGTTGTGCATGGTGTGCCCAACCGACTCAATCCACATGTCTTTTATTCTGACCCCTTGCCCCTCCCAGGCCTGTGAGTCCGTGGCAGTGTGTCTGAACGCTGCTTGTGGGCGGGAGGTGGCAGCAAGGGAGGTGGCGGGCGCGTTTGTGGATTGCGTCAAGATCTGCCGAGCCTCGCCGTCCACCATCCTGCCATACGCCACCATGTCGTGTCTTCAGGTGAGTACATTATTATGCTGTGCCGTGCCTTCAGGTGATTGCATCAGTATGCTGTGCCTTGAGGTCAGTGCCATACCCTGACAGTACAGTAATATGTTGCAACACTGACAACCCATTCCGCTTCTTCTCCCCCTCCTGCAGATCGTCGCTGTCAAACCGTCCCTTTTCCCCAATTCTCTCTGCACTGGTACGTACTACCTCCCAACACGTTATTCTTTTCCATATTCGTTTCTTACTTCTTGAAGTCAATGAAGCAATGTGCTCCTTGGAAGTAAGCTTCCAAGCTTACAGGCCGCAACGACATGTGACCTGCTTTCCTGGTCTGCACTGCTCTCGCTCGTCCCTGTCCTCTTCGCCCCCCGTGCTCCTCAATCATTCCTGCTCTTTGCGTTGCAGCAAGGGATCGCCGGCAAACGCAGGAGACAGTCGCACCAGCATTGTCTGGGCAGGGAATGGCTGCTGCATCTGCTGCGAGTTCTGCAGCTGCTGCGGGGGAGTTTGAGGGTGTGCTGCCGAGCAGGGTGGTGGCGGATAGGGCTGCGGCAGCAGCGAATGCCGTGGGGGCGAGTGGAGGAAATTGGAGCAGCAGAAGCACTAGCAATGCAGCAGTGGCAGGCACCAACGCCAGTGGCAATGACACTAGTGCTGCCATTGCCGATTCCAGCTTCTTTCCCCACCCGTGCTCCCTCCGGCTGCTGACATGCGTGAGTGATGATGTTTAGATTGAAAACATCAAAGTTTCACCCTTTGCCCATGATAACTCACAGCATATCAGCTTTCTCCCGTTGTGTTGACATGTCGGTCCCAACCCCCCTCTTCCCCTCCCTCTTCCTCTATTTTACAATTAACCCCCTTTTTTCTCCTTCTCCCCTCACTTTCTCCCCATCCTTACACCTCCTTCTTAGAGTTCCATGCTCACCGTCTTCCTTCCCCCCTCTCCTCTTTCTTGCTGCCCCCCTGCATGCAGAGCTGCTACATCTATCAGAGGCGCCAAGGGCGTGGGAGCTGCTGGGGTCCACAGAGAAGCAGCGCCTGAGAGCGCTGCAGGTGGCGGTATCCCGAGCCATCTACACCATGGTCAAGGACAGCTGCCTCGCCGGCCCCTACATGCTCGGCCTCTCCGTGCGCTACCGCCTGCGCCTCACCGCCTTCCTCTGCACGCTGCTGGGCGGGCCTGTGCTGGACCAGCCGCTGTGCCGGTTTGCGGATTTGAGGGGGCACCAGCTGCTGCGCGCCCAGGAGCTGTTTGACCACCTGAAATACGTGCACCGCGGCATGTAAGTGCTGCGGGGTTGGCCACCTGAAATACGTGCACCGCGGCATGTAAGTGCTGCGGGGTTGGCCACCTGAAATACGTGCACCGCGGCATGTAAGTGCTGCGGGGTTGACCACCTGAAATACGTGCACCGCGGCATGTAAGTGCTGCGGGGTTGGCCACCTGAAATACATGCACCGCGGCATGTAAGTGCTGCGGGGTTGGCCACCTGAAATACGTGCACCGTGGCGTGTGAGTGCTGCTTGACTCGTCTCCACGGTGGTTCCACGTTTCCATCACTGTCAAGGGCTGTTACTGTACCGTGTACCCCTGTCCTCCTTCCCCTGCAATGCTTCATTCCCCGTTCCCCGCCTGCCTCTTCCCTCTCCTGCTGTCACTACCTCCCCCTGCTGTCTCTACCATCCCCTTCTTACCCTCCTGCCATCTCTGCCCCCTCCCACCCACCCTCCCCTGCCGCCGTCTCTCCCCTCCCCTGTGGCGCCGCTGTGGCAGCAACAACAAGGCAGTGTCATCACAGCAGCTGAGGCGCTTCATAGACATTCTCATCGCCGCCCTGCAGTCCGTCACCTCCATGCCCCCCCAAGCCGCTGTCGACCTCTCCTCCTTCTTCCACCGCTTTGAAGATGCCATCGTCAGCACCGACATTGCTGGCTGCTCCCAAGGTGAGAAGTTAGCATGTGAGAAATTCTTGAGAGCTTGAATTGAAAGAATCCTCTGATTGCTTCCAAGGCAGGTGCTCTCAGTCTGCCAGTGATGATTTTCTTGTGCATTAGTAGTGGTGGTACCTTTTCACATGAGCTTGTGCAAAGCAGAACACACTGTGCAAATGTGAACCTTCCATTCTTGTTCCTTGTCTCTTCGTCCCTTCGCTTCCCTTCGTTCTCTTCCTCCCTTTGCCTTGGCGTGTTCAACCTGTCATGCTTCTTACCTTCCCCACCATGCAGGAGGCACGTGGCTGCAGTGGCGGGCGGGTGTGAAGCACAACACGACCATCCATGTGGGTGACAAGGTCACCTGGGTGTGGGATGACGACCTCCCACACTCCCTCAGAAGTAAGCTCGCCTTTAATGCTTCTCGCGCTTCTCCCGTTCCTCTGCTGCTTCGTCCGTCGCTCGTCCAATTCACCCCTATTCTCACCCCTACTCGCCCTGTGCTCTCCCTCTGCCCACGCCAGTCGCGGGAATGGGCGACGCACCCACGCCCTTCTTCCCGGGCTTTGGCGGGCACCGCTTGGCAGTGTCGCGCCTCTTTGCCTGCTCGCCCATGACCGCCGGGGAGGACGACGACTACGACGACCCCGTGCCCTGTGTTCTAAGTGAGTCCCGCCCTCCTCTTCCCCCCTTTCCCTTCGTGCTGCTTGAAGCCCGACACGTTCCCCCTTGTTTCCTCTCCCCCCCCTTCCCCCTTCTGCATGCTGTGTATGTCTCGCCGTCTTCCCCCTCCCCCCCTGCGTCCCTTCTGTGTCATCGTTGCACACACAGCCCAGGATTCCTTTCCCCCAACCCCTCGGCCTTCACTCCTCTGCAGCCCCCATCCCCCGCCCCCTAACCCTCCCTCCCCATCGTCCTGCTGCTTGCAGAGCTCCCAGGGGACAGCAACGCCAGCTTCACGTACTCCAAGGACTCCACCCAACCGGGCACGTACCACTATGAGAGCGACTTGCGCCTCAGAAGTCCTCATGCCCTCCCCCCCACCCCTGTTCCCCCTTTCTTCTCCCCCAGAGCTCCCAGGGGACGTCAACGCCAGCTTCACATACACCAAGGTCTTCACGCTCCCGGGCACGTACCACTATGAGAGCGGCGGGCAGGACGCAGGCGAAGCAGCATCGTCCGCTTCCTCCACCGCGGGTGGTCTCCTGCCGCCCGCCATGTCTGGCATGGTCACTGTGCTCGTGCCACCGCCCGAGGTACCAGGTAGGCGTGCCTGTGAGTATTTGTTTCGTTGTTCTCAACCATCACTACCAGCCTTGCGCTCCCGCACTTTCTCACTCCACTCTTTCCACGTCCCATACTTTCTCTACTCGCCTACATGCCCGTCAGATCAGACACGCCCGCGGCCCACCCCCTCTCACTCCCTCCCGCCCCTTCCCACCCCCTCCTCTTCCCATTGCCCTTCAGACCTGGCGTTCCAGTGCTCTCCGGGGTGCTCCATGCACATGCTGGCGGACGGGGTGTGCAACCCCCCCTGCAACACGCCCGCCTGCACCTTTGACGGCGGCGACTGCGGCTGCATTGACTCCGTGCTCGGCCCTGGCTTCTGCGCCTGCCCCCCCGGCCACGCGCGGCGCCACGACGGAG